AAAAATAATTTAAAAAAGCTAATAGAATTTTATAACTTTTACAATCTAGTACAAATATTAGACACATAAACAACACTAAATGCCATTATTTACTTGCATATTTTCCTTCTTTGTGTACTTTACTCCTTAATTTTTCAGGATATGATTTAGAAACAGAGTTATGGTAAAAATGTATACTGGTAAAAAAAATATTGCTGAAACTGATAAGTCCTTTGAATTATATACTATAGTGCAAAGAGGGATGGAATATGTGACTAAATATGATAAATCAGATTACAATAACATTAAACAAATAACATGAAAAAACTGAAAAAAGAAATTTTATTTGAAATTATTTTTTAACTCATGGAAAGACAGACAGTATTTCCAACTTATTAAATTCAATTATATTTTACCTTCGTCAAACCAATATTGGTAAGAGAGTTGTATTTAAAATCGGTGCTAAGCTAAAGCTGCTTTCTTGCCTAATTTATACTATTGAAAATACCGGTAATTGTCAAAGTTATTCGTACTCAATATGTAAGATTATTAATGAGCTGCCAAAACCGCAGTTAACCATCTAATATACTACATTCAACGTTATTATTTTTCTTTTTGAATGTCAGGTTTTCATTATTTCTGCCAATATATCTGTAACAGGACATAAAGATTGAGTTAATGTAGAATAGAAAATTACCTTGCAAGTTAGCACCTTTACCTTAGTGGCAGTACTTCATTCTCTAGAAAAAACATTTTAAAATTATACTTAAACAAAAAAAATTCATATTTGTTACAGCAAAACATCATTAACACAATAAACCAGAGTTGAATGCAAATCTAGTTTAACTACATTCTTGAAAACTAGTTTATTACTTCCAATTTAATTTAAAAATAATAAAAAATAAGGTACGTATTATGATGACTACCTAGATATCTCGCCTAAACTGGCAATCCTTGTAGGTTATACAGGTTAACCCTAACATAGGTTATAGAGGGCACTAAGATAGAGAGTATTAATCCCACACTAGGGACTCTAACATTTGGTAGGAACAGTTTGAAAAGTGAAACAGATATTTATAGTGAACCAATGCAAAACAAAAAAACAATAGTTCTTTAGGGACAAAGCCCCTTTGGACTAATAAATACGAGTAAATTAACAGCTTTTAGCTATTTTTCTTCTTGTAAAAAAAATAGACATACAGAATATTTTTAGAAAATAACAGTACTTTAAGCATGCATTTTCCACATATTTAACACAATAATTCATTCTAGCTCTGTTGCAATACTGGCAAAGGTACTCCTCTGTTATTAGGACGGGATTCAGAAATGTACAATGAAACCTCGAGATACGAGGAAAGTATGAGCAAAATACGAGCATTAATTCGAGAGTAACGAGCAATGAGCCAGGCTATTGGTATGGGTGGCGCCATTTCCCGATCCGGCTCAACTCGGAGAATCCCCTCATCAGATCACTCAGTGTTCTTTTATATACGTGTTTGTGCACTTGTAAGTTAATTGTTTTGACATTTAACGTGAAAATAATTATTTCAAGATGCCTCGCAAGAAGATTGTTGCCTCAGATAGTGCTGCAAAGAAAAATAAGGAGGCCATGGCCGTCGATATCAAGAAAGAAATCGTAGATAAACATAAGCATGGTGACAGAATTGGCGAAGACTTGCGGCCTTTCAACATCGAAAATCTATACTATTCTGAAGAAGCAGGAAGAAATTAAGAAACCTGATGTAGCCAAAGGAATTATCGTTGCTTCCAAGCACCATAAAAGTACTCTTAGATTTGAGAAGCTGTTGTTGGTGTGGATTAATGAGAAGGAGTTAAAATGTTGGTAAACAAAGTTAAACTATTGTTATATTATTTACCAGTGTTATTTATTAGGAAAAATTGACTTGATATTAAAATGTTGATATTTTTTGGGGGTGGAACGGGTTAACTGAATTTTCATTATTTTCAATGGGGAAGCTTGCTTGTTTCTAGATACGAGAAATTCGCTATACCAGTTGAATGCTGGAATGGAACGAATTAAACTCGTATCTCGGGTTCCACAGTAGATATGTAAGCATGTGTATATGCATGTATGCGCATATATGTGTATAAGTATACACATACATACATAAAGAATATACACATGCACACATGAGCACCTACATTTAAAAATGCATGCATATAAACACACATTTCTGAATCTGGTCCTGATAACAGAAGAATACCTACATGAATCATAGGATTTACATTAATCCGTTTTATTAGAATTCTTAATGCAGAGGATTACATTAATCAGTTTTATTAGAATTTTTAAATGCAGAGGATTACATTAATCAGTTTTATTAGAATTCTTAAATGAAATCTTCACTATCCGAAAATTCAGTTTCATTTCCAGCTGAAACTGTATCAGGACAATCTGAAAATTTTAAGTTAGCTTAGAAACTGTAATCATTCTTAAAAAAGTTTGATTTATGCAGATGTTAGATCAATAAAATTACTTTCCTGTGAAAAAGTAATATGGCATTGAACAACACGATTTTACAAATCAAGATATACTGAGTGAAAATTCCTGAAATGTTTTATTTCTTGGTATCTCTGCAAGAATTGTATAAATAAGACTACCTCCCTTTAAAAAAAAATGTTTCGTAAATACTATGAAGAAAATTGGTTACATTATTTACAGTTCATAATTAATAGAAAATAAATCATTTCTTAGCTTATCAGAATTTATTTTTATCACATTCATAAACAGTACTAATTTAAACAAACATACCATTATGATTTCAATAACTATGAAATAGAAAATCCAAATCTGCATCTTTGATGGTCTAGTAGATTGGACGTCTCGTTTACTACAATTCAGCAAGGTGCTGACTCCCCAGACTGTAATATATATATATATATATATATATAATTAATTTACAAGGGCAAAAAAAAGCAACAAAAATATAAACAATTTCTTGGTTTTATATAAGCATTTCTGCACATTTACAATTTTAATTTTTTAACTATCTAGTTATATCAAAATACATGATTTAGTAAAATATAATTCAAATAATTTAAGGTATTTTAGATCAAATACTAATTTTTCAATAAATTTTTCATGCAAGTTCTAATAATCAACATAACTATCAAGTTTTGACTTCGAAAATTATGTTTAGAGAAACTTGAAGCTGCAGTAAATAGTAATAAATTTATTCAAAGAAAACTGAAAGTAAAGCATTCTTACTTGAATTTATTTTCTTTCTTTAACTATGGCAGATCTTTTAAAACAACAAAATCAAACAAACAAAAAAGAAATGCATTCATGAAAGGACTTAGGACTTACTTATTATTCATGAAAGGATATATTTCAGTAATTACAAGTGCATGAAAATTCAGTATATATAAAAAAAAAAATGAAACACAGATTTGGAACAAAGTACCTGTGTTTCTATCGCATAAAATTTCCTGTTTTAATAGCACAATATCTTTGAGTTAAAGATTATATATTAAAGCAAATTTATAAAACTAAATTCAAAAATAAGAAATTAAATTATTTTTAGGGAAAACACTAAGCAAATAAAAAATTTTGAATTTCATAAATAAAAGAAAGTTACATGCTTTATTTTTTGGCATAAGGTAGATAACATTTCCATAACAGATTTCTGAACAATTAGTCATGTTAATATTGCCTTTCTTTTTTCCATTAAAAGCTATTTCCTGCTTAATTACAGTATGCTTTAAGATAAATATTAAAACGTTTGAGTAAAAATAATATAACTATAAAAAGGTGAGACACATACAAAAAGGAGTGACACAAACAGTAAGAAACAGACTAGTGCAAAATTTAACAGTACCAAATCCTAAAAATGAATCATTAGGCACGTACACAAAAGAACAACACATGGAAAATCACATTTCCTACACAGACGCTATTTATAAAATTTTATATAGGTGAAGAAAGTACGAGTATTAAACACTGAAAATATAAAATATTCACTTACTTTCTTCAAATATAACTTCGATGGATTCAGTCACAAACGCCAATCCACGAACAAACAGTATTCTTTGCGACTTTACAATTCTTTTCGACCGCCATTGCTGAGTGGTATTTATGACTTATGACTTACTTTTTTTCTGGTCATTAACTACTAGAGTTTTTGCCAGTAGATCGCATTAAAGTGCACTAGGCAAAGATATTTTCAAATAAATGGTACTAGGGAAGTACCAACACCCGTGGGCGAAGAAAATTCAGCTGCGTGAGCAGGCATATCTTAATACTTACGAAAGTAGGCGTTCATCATAAAAATTGTGCAGTGGTAAGCAATGGCATTAAATTGAAGCATGTAGGCAGGTTCAGTGAGTTGTATGGCAAATGCAGGTGGTGAGCTCAATATAGCTAGTAAGAGTGCAGGATAAGCAATAGTGAGACATCATGAAAATGGCGCGAAGACAGTTTGAAGCTGTTTGAATGGCATAAGAGTTCAAAGTCCTGAGTGGTGAGTGCTGACTTCACAAATATCCCGCCACAACCGGAAGTAGAAAGTGTCTGCTTTGCCATTGGTCAGTGAACAAGAATTGCAACGCTTTTTTTTTTCTTTATAATTAAACATATTAAGAAAGCCTCTAAATTAGCATATGAAATAAACTTACTTTTGCATTATATAAATTTATATTCACAGCATCTCTGTATTAAGGTAATAATTAAATTTTTCTACGAAAAATAGAAATGTCTGTGTATGCGCATGCTCAGTGTATAATCGTAAATCCGGTTAATTTTATAAGTTAGCGTAAAATTAACTATGCAAATTTTGAGTTCATTTAACTGGACCCTTGTACTTATTCTGTAGATCTCCATATTAAGAATGTCTTTAACTGTTTCAGGAAAAATATAAAAATATAATATAATTATTTATTTACATTATTTATTAATTTTTTCCTCATATAAAAATTACTAAAATCGCTATATATCATTTTTTCCGTACATTAAACAAAAATAAAAAAAAATTAGCCTCATATGATTTTTTATAACAAAGATTAAAGGAACTGAAATATATGTAAAATATCAGGATTCAGCTTGCAATTTCGTAGAGTTATTATTATTATTATTAAATAAAAATATTAGTATATCTTTGATTATAATTAATGATCCTTTGGTCTACATTAAACTATTGTTCAAGAAGTTAAACGTTTTCGAGCACCTTCTGCTGTATTTATTATTCTATTCTTCGACATGAAAGATTTGTTAGTCTTATTCCAATTTAATTGCCCACATTTGCTAAATAAAATAAGGCGAGTATTGTACCAAACTCAGTAAATACACAAATTTAATATACAGCTTATTCCAGTTAAATGGGTAATAGGATTTTCATAAAAGATATTAAATTGTGTAAATTAATGTAAGTGTTGATATGAATAAAAATAACAAATTTGATATAAGAAAATAAATAAGTTATTTTGAAGATGTTTGAATTAAGAAAATATAATTTTTTGTAAAAATGCACGTAAAGATTTATCTCACATGTTAAAATTTATAGAAAAATTTTAGCCTCATATATGAATGCCCCTTTTTTCATGTTCGTGGACAAGGAAAACAAAGTGAAATGCCAGAAATACACTAAATATTTTGAATTAATAAACTTCACTTTCAATCTTTTTAGACTTCGTATAATATCCGTAAAAGTGACGAATGAAAAAATATACCATAAAGCAGTAGTAGTTTCTTTCAGAACATTCGGATTCGTATAATATGCGTAAAAGTGACGAATAAAATATACCATCATGGCGGTAGTTTTATCAGTACATTCGGATTCGTATAATTTTCGTAAAAATAACGTGTGGAAAATAACGACCAAGAGTCAACAGTAACTTCAGCCTTTTTCATTCGTATAAATTTCGTAAAAGTAGCGTGCAAAAAATACCATACCCTTATTTCACCAAAATTATACGTATATTTTTGGAGACGTGCTGCCTGGGAACATATCGCAGTAGAAATTCTACATCGAGGAGAACGCTTCCAGGAACAGAGAGTGCGGTGCAAACAAGGCCGCCGTTACCGAGAACGAAAAGACAGCAGGAGGAACGAAAAGACAGCAGGAGGAACGAAAAGACCACCACCAACAGAAGAAATTCAAGCATGACTCCAGACCGGAGGACGCCGAGACCAGCCGTCCAGGGGAAAAACGAAAAAGAGAGCAACCCGACGACTACCACTCCAAGAGGCCAGCATGCAGAGGGCGAAAAAGAAAAAGTAACGTGGACGACACTCGGAGGACACTAAGGAGAAGACTGGCGTCGATGAAACCTATAATGTGGGAGCACTTCTGCCAGAAAAGGATGTCGGAGTTCCAATCATCGAAAACTCAAAGATAAGTTAAAATCTTCTATAATTTTTTTTTCTTTTGTTCCGAAATGTTATGCGTAAATACGAAGTTCTATGGTTTGACGGAAGTCAATGTGTCTCGGTTGAGACTTAGTTTTGTTTTACTTTATTTAGCCTAAAGCAAAAGCATAAAAGTATTATTTTCTTTAAGTATAAAAATCTAAGGAACAAGCAGTTTCATGTTGGTCGAAGACTAATTCTGTTATGTTAAAGCCAAAATTTGGCCGAAGATAAAAATAACTTCGTATTCTTGTATTAATAAGAACTTTAGTTTCAGTGCCGCCAGCTTGGCGAAGAATGAGTAAAGTAAAAATTTATTTTTCTCTTATTCGTTTTATGGTAAATTGTAAAAATCATATGTATTAGAATTTTGTAAATATACGTAAATACTTGAAAGTTATGTAAAAGTAGAATTTAGTCTAGAAGCATAAAATTTTAGATGCTAAAAGTAAATGCTCAAAAGCAATCAATTCAAATTTAAGTATTAAACTGTAGATAAAATCATGCTTTAGAGCGAAAGCCTGCATGTCTAAAGATGAATGAGGGGGAAGTTAGAATGAATGTGTTTTGTAGGATTCACCACCTACACTTGAATTTTAAGAATGTTAAAGTAGCGCATCGAGTTGTAGAATGTCGAGTAAGGTGTGTCTATTTGGTCGTTGAATTCTAACAAATCATTGTGGTTAGGGGACGTATTGCAATACTGAAACACGAATATTCCTGTTTGACACCACACATGGTGGAGAGCGAAGGTAAAGTTAAATTCATGGTTGAATACTTGAATGAATGTGAATTAAGCAGTAACTAAGGAAAATAAATCGTTCAAAAACAAAAACTTATTCAGTGTCAAGGAAGTGTAAATTATAATGTATTTAGAAAGATACTGATACTTATTCCTTCCAGATGCTGGAAGGAAGAGAACAGATTGATTGCTGAAGTCCAGGAAAGGTTGCTGTAAGAAGAGAGAATTAAAATAAGTGTCTACAGAAATTTATTCTACCTTTTGTAAGATAACAGATTTTTTTTTATGTAAACGAGGCTCTTAAAATTTAGTTCAGAATTGTGGAAACTTTTCAACAGGTCGTTTCTAGGACTTGCTTCCAAGTTTACCAAATTATGGCAGCGGCAAATGTAGGGTTTATATTTATTTTAACTAACATTTATTTTAAGTTTAAAACTATCTTTCCTGTCAAGCCTTACTTTCCCCTGGAATTGCCAATGCCAGAGTATGTAAATTTTAGTAGAACGCGCAAGGGGATTGAAATTATCAGCGGAAGTATTCTGAGTTAAATAGAAGGGAAACGAGTTCGAAGGTGTGCTTTCTTGCTTCACGAGCGTGGAGGTGGCTAGTTAGAAATTGAACCACGCGTTTCGGCCTGTGTGCTTACCTCGGCAGTTTGTAAATCTTTCAACGTAATATTCAGAGTTTGCTGAATTATCAGCGGCATTTTAGAACGCGGTGAGGTTAGTTACGTTTAGAGAGCCTCGTAATTAGTCACTTGTTACTATTCTTTTCTTAGTTTCTTATTTTTATTTTACCGCCGGGTCGGCGTAGTTTGTTAGCGTCAAGAGCACGCATTTGTAATTTCTAGTTGAATAAAAAGGGATTTAAACCCTTTTCAAGACTTTGGTCTATTTCCAGTTCTCAGCAGTCACCACTTTGTTGCGTGCAGGTTGGAAGCGCGCAACTTTACAACCTAACGAATTATAACTAATTTCCTAATTTCAATCTCTGATCGAAATCAATTAACTGTTTTATTTCAGCTGAATATCAACTGTAAAAGTAAGATAAAAAAGAAGCCTTTCCAGCTGTAGAAGTAATATGCCATCAACTGTAAATAAGATGTCATCAGCTGTAAGTAAAATGGCATCAACTGTAAAAGTAAGAAAAAAAAAAGACAGTTTCAGAGTCAAGTTGCGACTGTCCAGTTCTTGACACATTTAAATGAAAAGTTGAAGAAACATGCAATTAGGCTGGCTGCAAAAATTTTGAAGTGCAGCAGAATGACCGTATGGATAATTTAAAAACGTGCTTCCGAAAATAACTCTCAAGGTGAATCTTATTCTAGTATTGATTCTTTAAAACAACAGAATAATGGAGTTTAAAGTAAAATTAATGAGGAAAACTTGAAATCCTTAGACATACTATTTTTTGCACACAAACAGCACAGAAGCAGCACAGAGACAGCACAGAAGCAGCAAACATAGTCTTTGATAATATTTCTCTTAAATACTCGATAATGCATTTCGGTCACATCAACAAGTTAAGCTGTAAGCAATGAGAAACGATGGCTCTAGTAATTTTAAGCCCAAGCATAGAAAACAAAGCTTCGTGGCCAAGGATCCTACCTACAAGTTTATAATGCAATAATGAAATTATTGAAAAATCCGGAAACTATCTGAACCCTCAAAATAACAAATAAGAGTAATGTTTTTAATTTACTGCTTAATTTAATCTAGTTATTTATAATTATATTCTTCTGCTGCTATTATTATGGAACAAATTAAATTTATTAACTGCTGCTATTATTATGAAATATTATTATGATACACGGTAGAAAATTGAGCACGCAAACTATACTTGTAATAATAGTTCTATTAATAGCCTCTACAAGTAAAACAATTATTTAAAATGAGTTTCCAAACTGAATATTTTACGGCAATTCATATCTAACACAGCCAGTGTATTACTCTAAGGATATTCAAGTTTAACTTAAATAGAAGTGCTTAGAAGTTTTGTTTTTCATTTTCAAAGCGATTCCTAAAGGA